TCAATAACTTTAGTATTCCACCTGTCAATGTATGCGTGGATTTCGAGCCAAGCCAAGATCGCAGTCACTTTGATCCTTGAAAGCATGTAATAAAGCCTTCTTCTACCCAACAGGAATACATTGACTTGATTTCACAATGAAAGTGAGCGTTCCGAGACTACCCACCGGGTGGAAGAAGACAGTAAGTGAAGCTAAATACATGTATTCTGAAGACGACAGGACAAATTAGCCTGAGCATGACTTGAAGGCCAGCTCACGAGTACAATGCTCAGGCAAATCTTAAAGTGACCGCTGAAGGTTAGGTAGTCACATAACCAAAGCATTACATTGCCACCCCCTTCTTTTGAGCGGCGTCATCGGTGCTCCCCTTTGGTACAGCTCCCGCGCCAACCATCACAATTTATTCAGTACTACAAGAAAGCACTTATGAGCCAATCGTGCCAGTCGACAGACAAGACGAGAATGAGGAACCGTACCTGGTCTCCTTGGAAGCTTCAACTGCATCTGGAGTTACATTAGGTCTGACAACCAGATTCAGGGCCGCATGCGCCTGTTACCATCATTTGCTTCAAGGAAGAGATGGTGAAACTCTGATTTAAAACATATATACTACAGGAAAACGGGCTGAGCCACTGTCCTGTACGTAAGAAGAAGCGTGGTGTCATTTCCGACACCTAAACACGGATTTTGTATGATAAATTCCGACACGAAACTTTTCCAGATACTTCATGGCATTGTCGCTTCAGCTGTTAATAGCTTGTCTGTAAACACGGGAATAAGGTGAAGCCAAATGCAGACATCAGTCTCGGCCCTTTCGTTGTGGGGAATTCCAAGGTTCTCCGTCATCGAAGTAAATGCGCCTTCTTCAATTCACGTCCCCTCATCTATTGCACTTTGATAAAGTCAGACTTCCTTCTACTCATGCATAGCTCATGATTGCCGATGCACAGCGCCAAAATGCGCTTATCAATCCTGAATTTCTCTACTAAAATGTAGAATCCCATTGCAGTCTTGTCTGCTGGTTTAGATTATAAACTTCTTGTCGTGAAAAGACAGGAATCGAAGTTTTGGCCAAGGGAACCCGATTTTGGGGTCGAACAGATTATCAGGCTCATAGATACTCAAATTCAGAGCAATTCCACCAAGAACATGCGACATACACCTCCTGATCCTGTGCGATTTGTAGGCACTGAAGCATTGCACCATCCGATCGTACCCTTGCTCGTCGACTTGTTCGTACTGTTCTTTTCCGAAAATCTGCCAATTAATTGGCTATGTTTAGCAACATAAACGCAGGATGCCAGTAAGACAGCGGTGTCTGTTGAGCAATAGATTTTTCCGGACATTATGTAGCTTTTAACAAACGACCAATGAAGAACAATCCTCCGAGAAACCCCACTTCAGCTAAAAGTCGTTCAGCAATATCGGGTTCGCTTTCCGTTACCAACATTGTAGCGTCCCGAGACCAGTAGATGCAGCTGGATGCATCTATTCTGGAGACGGCGGGACAAATGGGCAGCGTACGTGTAAAAGGGTCAGACAAATCCTAAAGTTACTGCCAAACGTCATGTGGCCACAGAAACAAAGTATTGCAAAGGTAATATTATACTTTGCTCATGCAACCACTTATAAATGTGGCGATCACTTGATATTTGTCTTGCTCTTGTGTGTGCGGATCACAGTCTGGTGTCATTTTTCCCCCTAGAACACATGCATGCAGTTCAACTGCATGTCTCCATCAAATTAGTGGGATGTCTCAGGAAGTAAGGTCTAGG